TTGACCATGCTAGCAAAAAATAGAATTTTCCTTTTATTATTTTTATAGAAGATGATATTACAGGGGTGCCTGGGTGGCTCAGTCAGTTCAGCATCAACCTGGGCTCAGATCATGATCTCATAGTTCATGGGTTTGAGCCCTGCATCAGGCTCTGTGCTGACAGCTCAGAGCCTAAAGCCTGCTTCAGATTCTGTGTCTCCCTCTCTCTTTGCCCCTCCTCCACTCATGCTTTGTCTTTCTCTCTCTCCCTCAAAAATAAATAAATACATAAAATTTTAAGAAAATTATATTAAAACACTGTGATTTGAAGAACAGGTCAAAGAGCACACAGTCACAAATATCAGGAAAGAAAGATTATGAAGTATGTTAGACATAAATAATATAAAAACATTATGTTGTTTTCTGGACTTGGTTATGTTTAAGGAATTTGTTAGCTTTTTAAAATTTGTAATTTGTTATTATTTCCTTTCTCATTCTAAGCAAATGTTGCTTTCATATATAATTCTATGTTTATGATTTTGTATTTTACAAACCATATAAAGACATCCTTTAAAAAACAAACTAAAGGTATCCCAGCTTAGTATCTCAAGCTTGATCTCAAATATGGCTTTTTTGACATTACCTGACATGAGGAGGGCAGAAGAGAGAAAATCAGAATTGAAAAAAAAAAACAGTAATTTTTTACCAATTGTGGTTAAAATACCTTACTTTGTGCATTTCACCAAAAACAAAACAAAACAAAACAAAACAAAACAAAAACATCTGATGATGTGAACTCATTGTTAGATACTCTTCCAGGGTCTTAGAAGGGGTTCATACGGTTGAAACTTGCCAGTAAATCCTTCTTTCCCCCCCGACTATCAGCCCATTTTCTCCGTAATTGCATGGCGATAGCTTCAGTTCCTCATTAAACACATTTTGCAGGGCATTTAGTACGTTTCAGGCTCTGTGTCTAGATGTCGGTGTAGTCATGGTGAATAAGACAAAGTCCATGCTCCCATAGAGCTTTTCTGTCAGGTGGGGAGGGAGGGAAGAGCCAATTAGCAAGTAAATACACAAATAACCGAGGCTAATTTAGGTAGTCAGGTAAGCAATGCTGTAAATGAAATAGATGATAAAGATGACTAGGCTATTGAGCAACTTGAGAACATACTAGCAGGTGATTCTAAGAAGACGATATTCTGAGAAAGCATAACAAAATAAACATAAACCATCACCATAAATGCTTGGGGAGAAATTATTTTAAAGAGAGTAAATACTAGATTCAAACATGCAGGAGGGGAAGGGTGTGGCATGTTCAAGGAAGGTGATGCCCGGCTAGAGCAGGGAGGCAGAAAATGGTAGGGAATGAGGAAGGAGAGGCAGCCTCATGGTAGACTTCCAAGGCAGGATTAGTAAGGTCAATGAGTGTTAGTCTAATTGCAAAAGGCTGTTCCTTCCTGAACTTTCCCAAGACACTTCAAATGTAACGTATTTAAAACCAAATTCATTATCTTTCGTCCACAAGTATGTTTATGCTTCTACATTGCACATCTCATTTCATGAAATCGTCTCCTCCCAGTCACCCTACCTAAAATAAATTTCCTACTCTGCCAGGTAATTCTTCCCTGATTTCCAAATCTCATCTATTACTGAATCTTATTTGTTGATTCTTTCTCATAAGTATCTCTCATCATGTACTCGCTATTCTGGTTAATCATCTCACCATTTCCCCTGGAGTTGTGTCACCTCATTTCCCTTTTAGAGACCCACTGCTTCTGTTTTTTGGGGTTTTTTTAATGTTTGTTTCTGAGAGAGAGAAAGACAGAGCATGAGCAGGGGAGGGGCAGAGAGAGAGAGAGAGACACAGAATCTGAAGCAGGCTCCAGGCTCTGAGCTGGCAGCACAGAGCCCGACACGGGGCTCGAACCCACAAACTGTGAGATCATGACCTGAGCCGAAGTCGGATGCTTAACCAACTCAGCCCCCCCAGATACCCCCCTCCCACACACACTGCTTCTGGTTTTATTTCCTTGAGTTAGTCTTTACAGGGCAAGTCTTCATGATCTTTGTCAGCAATGATTGGTCACTTCCCTCTGATGTTAAAGCCTCCTAATGGTTCGTCAGGGCACAGATAAGAAAGTCTACACCTTTAGGCATGGAACGCAAGGTCCTTTAGGTCTGGCTATTGCTTACAACTCCAGTCTCCAACCTGTCACACAAATTAATTCTCCAACAAAACCTAACGACTTCCAATTTCCTTTATGTTCCCACTACTTCAAACCCTTAGCACATGCTGTTTCTGACATTTGGAATGACTCATCCCATTACATCCCCTGCTGTGTTCCTGCAAAATTCATCCTTAAAAGCCTAGGTTTAGTGTCCATATTTTGTGGTAACGCTTCTTTTGGACACTCAAGCTTTCTCTCCCCGCCACACGCTGCCACCACCACTTGACCTCTCATTGCCTCTTTGTTTCTGCTGCATTTACACATAGAATAATTTTGGAACGATGGTTTCCCCCCGTTGATAGCCTTTAGAATGATTTGATCCTGTGCCTCAAGCAATGTGATGAGGAACCCACAGAACTTGTGCCTGAACGGTACAACTATTGATCATAAGAGTGAAATGTTAGATACACAGAGAATTTAAAGATCATTAAGATGATCCCTTCACATTATACAAATGAAGACACTGATAACCAGAAAGGTTAAGCAGCCAAGGTCACCATAACTAGTTGTTTTGTTGTTGTTGTTGTTGTTATTGTTGTTTTTATGGAGCCCATAATAACTTCAAATTTCCTGCCCGCCAAGTTTTTGACTGGGGCTTTGAGCACCATTGGGTACTTCCTCTCTCATCTCCCATATTTACGTTCATGGATGATACCATCAGTGGAAAGCTGATAGGTAGCTGTGGATGTATTTACTTCATGTATATGAAGCACTCTATCAACATTTGTGAATGAATGAAACAGAAGGCTGGAGTGTGTAATTATCTAACTGATACAGCAAACAACCGAGTGTTACTATGAGTTCACATATTACTTCACTCATTAATTCTTTAGTCAAACACTAATCACCTTTAATATGCAGAATGCCATACTTAGTGTTGAAAATGGAGACAAATAGAGAATACAGGATGCCCTTTGCACACCAGAAAGTCACACAGAAATAAAACAAATGATCATAATATTAAAACAAAATTAGAAAAGGTGCACTGAACATGTGAATAAATCAAGTTGTACATGATTTTGGAAGTCTCTTAGGAAAGAGCCACCAACTTCTTTAGAGAAAATTGCATTTGAGCTATACATTTGTTCATTCATTTATTCATAACAAGCACTCAGCTTGTTAATAACAATTAAAAAGAGAGGCAAGTAAAGGATAAATCTGAAATAAATACTTCATCAGTGTTGTTTTCAGTGACAGCCTGAATTAATCTCATTGATAATGCTGCCCTGTTTACCATACCATGAAACCAGAGTTAAGATAGGTCAGTGATAGCCATATGCCTAAAAAATTTAGGATTATTTTAATTTTTAAAATCTTAGGTTTTATTAGTTTAGTCTTGAGTGTTTCAGCTTTAAAGTTTAATTTTGATTTTCTTTCTGTGGTCTCTGATTTTGGAGCAAGTCCAGAATTCATTTCTGATTTCTCTCTACCGATGTGAGCAACATGCTGATTTTCTGGCCACAAGAATGTTGCTCTGATGAGTTCTACAAAAAAATGGCTTGGGAAATTAAAATAAAATAAAAATTTTCTTCTGCTCTTGTAATGGGACTGTATCCTATTTCACAGTTTAACAAATCCTGACAAACTTTTTATTTCATTTGGTTTTTCATATCTGTTTGCTTGGTCTGTGTCCAAAGGTAAATATATATGTGTGCAAACCCCTTCTTACTGTAGATCTTAGTCATCCAAACCCATGGATTTTTGGCTGTTGCTAGCTTGATTCCCAAATATAAAAGTTTATAGTGTTTTACATAAACATCCCAGAGTCCTAGCCATGCATTTTAATTTATTTTGTTTATGGTAAAAATTCTCCTATAGGTTTTCAACATTTTTCAACCTTCATTTTAAATTTTTGAGCAAATCGTGGGGCACCTGGGTGGCTCAGCCAGATAAGCTTTCTACTCTTACCAGCTCAGGTCATGATCTCACAATTCCTGAGTCTGAACCCTGCATTGTGCTCCTTGCTGACAATGTAAAGCTTGCTTGGGTTCTCTCTTTCTCTCTCTCTCTGCCCCTGCCCCCCTTCTCTCAAAATAATTAAGTGAACAAAAAAGTTTTTTGAACAAACATTTCTCATGTTGTTACTCTCGGAAGAGAAGATTCTGTAGGATTTTTCTTCCTCTGAAGAGTATTTCATAAAATTATAGGATATTACCAAATCTCAAAACTAAAGTTTTATAAGTGCATGTATATCTGTTTAACATGGAAATAAGAAAATATAGCCACCATTAGTTATGTGAATAATTCACATCTATACATGTATGTGTATAAATGTAAATGTTTCTCATAATTTTTAAAATAATGTATCATGGACTTGCTTTAATATTTTTATTATTATTGAATACACACCTCACTATACCCCCACAAATCAGTTATTTATATGAAGACGGTGAAACTAAGTGACTTACCCAAGATCACACAGCTACATTATTTACAAAACTGAGTTGTAATAAAGCAACATTTAGGCCATGTTATAGATTTTTTAGATATGTATATTTACTCCTTAATGGCATGATCTTTTGTTTTGTGATTAAATTTCCAAAGGGCATTTTTGACATTCACATTAGCTTATTTCAAATGGAAATTAATTTCCTCTTGACAAGTGTTGTGAGTTTCAAAATATCCCCTGTGCACACGTTTGCTGAAAAGGTTATTTGTATTACAAATGTTTGCAGCAAAGATATCTAAGCTTTTATTATGCATACATATCTTTATGTACATAGTACTCATTATAAGTTTATGAGATTAGTTTTCTGTAGTGACTTTTGGAAACTAGTCCTCAGCTTTATAATATGCTGTGTGTTCCACATCTGATTTAAATGTGATTCTGGCCTTTAATTTTTAACCTTGTTATCCAATTTCATCTGAATGACCATCCCAAAAGAAAAAAATAGAACTCTTTAGCTCTAAATTCCTGTAACTAAAAGTAGCTCTTCTGGTGTTTGTTATTATGATCTGCATTTTAAAACTCAAGCCGAGGCTTCTGATGGGCAGAGATCCGGAGGATGGGAACTGCACACAGTTCCACAGCTGGAGAAAACCTTCAGAGTGCAGACGACAGCACTTCTGCTGAGTAGGATTCTTGATTCCGGAATGGTGGAACAGACCAGAAAACCAAAGCATCTGGCAGGATCTGTGCCAGCTGGAAAAGCCCCTAGCCACATATTTTAAAGCCCTTAAGATGCCTGTGGCTTAACACATATATATCATTATTCTAACATTTGCTAAAACAAAATGCAATTACACATCACGGAATATTATTGATTTTCTTTTACATCAGGATAATTTCAACTGTCTTCTCTCAGATAATATCTTAGAACTCAATTGTGTGCTAAGCAAAAACCTAGAGAATAATTTACATTTTTCTTTGGGGCGAAGATTTAGATGAATTAAAACTTAAAAAGAAAATAACCCACGGCCCTTAAGAACTGATCATTCCCCTGGCTTTAACCTGATTTCTTCTTTAATTAGAAAAGATTCACTCTTCAAGGAACATTGCCTCTTCATTCATAAAGTGGAGTCTTCATTTCTGGGACATGTTTGAATTTAGAAGGAGAAAAAATTTTCACCTAGGAAATTAAATATGCAAATATATGTGCATCTATGTAGAGGTGTCTACATACACACACATGTGGTTTCCTTCAGTGAGTTAATTTTTGTGTTTTTTTTTTTTTTTTTTTACCTTAAGGAAGAAGAAACGAGTGTGTATATTTTAATCTTTCCAGCAGTTCCACAGATAATAGTTTCCACACAAACACTTTTTGGTTCTTTTTTCTTAAGAGAAAACCAATCCACCCTTTGCCCACCTAGATAAGCATACTTCTTTTAGAAGGAGGAGGAGGAGGGGGAGAGGAAAGGAAGGCCAAGGAAGACAAACAAGGTGAGGAACGGGGAGGAGAATCAGGTGAGCAGGTCCAGTGTAAAGCCTTGTTTTACATTACTTAGTACAAAGATGCATCAATGTGTGCAGCTGTTTTCCTTCAGTAAACAGTAGTATTGACTCGGAGACCTGCCCCTCCTGTCGTCATAAACCATTTACAGAGAACATGCAGATCCAGTGAGTGAGCAAGCACTGTGTGCCGAAAATGTCATTGTAAAACTAGTGGCAGAGGCGAGAGCTCTAAGACCCAAACCAGCTCTAATGAATCTGACTTATTTTTGTAACTCTGGCGTTTTTCTGCTAGTCGATTTATTTATTTATTTATTTATTTAGAGAAAGAGAGAGAAAACATGAATGGGGGAGGGACAGAGAAAGGAGAGAGAGAGGATTTCAAGCCGAAGCTGCACTGTCTGCAGAGACCACAGCCCAATGCAGGGCTTGAACTCATGAAGCCATGTGATCAAGATGTGCGCTGAAATCAAGACTCAGATGCCTAACCGACTGAACTACCCAGGTGCCCCTAATACTTGAACCATCTGATTTTATTTTAAGCTAGTGCCTTTACTTTAGTATGAAATACTAATTAAGCCTTGTTGATTCTATATTTCTTTCTCCCCTATCCCTTCTAGTGGTTATATAAGAGCAATTATAATCAGTTCTGTAGATGCCTTTTCTCCATTTTTATTAAAATAACTAAATTGTTAAACTTGAGACTTTTCATTGAAAGAAAGTCTTAAAAATTTAGTGTCTTAAAGTTCAAAATAAGTAACTAAAGGGAAGCTTAAGAAAATTTAAAAGAGTAAAAGAATAATCATTTTGTATCATGTGTGTGCATATATACGCATACAATGATAGATAAATGGATAGATAGCCATAACATTATTAAAACAACATTTTCTAGCCTGGAATATACTCTAAAAAGAAAATAGAAACATATGTACCTAATTTTATTTATATGACAATTTTTCATTTTTTTATATTAGACACAAGATAGTAGGGTTTTTTTTCTGTAGCGTTTTCCCAAGATAAATACTTAAAACCTGTGTTAAGACACCCTCATTCTTTTTTTTTAATAAGATATGAAAGCAGCTTTTTAAAAATTTTAATTCCAATATAGTTAACATATAGGGTTATATTAGTTTCCGGTGTAAAATAATAGTGATTCAACAATTCTATATATTATCAGTTCGCATCAAGATAAGTGCACTCGTAATCTCCTTCCCCTCTCACTCATCTCTCCTTTGGTAACCATTGGTTTGTTTTCTAGTTAAGAGTTTAGCTAAGAGTCTGTTTGTAGTTAAGACTCTAGTTTGTGGTTTGTCTCTCTCTTTTTTTCTTTGTTTTTTTGCTTCTTAAATTCCACATGTGAATGAAATCATATGGTATTTGTCTTTCTCTGACTTATTTTACTTAGCATTATACTCTAAAGATCCATCCATGTTGTTGCAAATGGCAAGATTTCGTTCTTTTTGACAGCTGAGTAATATTCTATTTTGTATTTATCCCACTTCTTATCCATTCATTTACTGATGGCCACTTGGGCTGTTTTCATCATTTGGCTATTGTAAATAATGCTGCATTAAATATAGGGTTGTATATATCTATTCAAATTAGTGTTTTAGTGGAAATCCTGGATCATATGCTAGTTCTATTTTTTTATGTTTTTTTATTTATTTTTGAGAGAGAGAGAGAGAGAGAGCAAGGGGCAGAGAGAGAGGAAAACAGCAGATCGCAAGCAGGCTCTGCAATAAAAATTCAGAGGTAATGTGCGGCTCAAACGCATGAACCATGAGATCATGACCTGAGCCAAAGTCAGATGCTTAACTGACTGAGCCACCCAGGCACCCCTATGCTAGTTCTGTTTTTAATTTTTTGAGGAACCTCTATAGTTTTTTCCTACAGTGGTTGCACCAGTAGGCATTCCCACCAGGAGCACAAAGAGTTCCTTTTTCTCCACCTCCTCACCAGCTCTTGTTTCTTGTGTTTTTGATTTCTGGCATTCTGACAGGTATGATGTTATATCTCATTGTGGTTTTGATTTACATTTCCCTGATAAATGATGGTGAGCATCTTTTCATGTGTCTGTTAGCCATCTCAATGTCTTCTTTGGAAAAATGCCTCCTTATGTCTTCTGCCCAATTTTTAATTGGATTATTTGATTTTGGGTGTTGAGCTGCATAAGGTCTTTATATATTTTGGATACTAACCACTTATTGAATATATCATGTGCAAATATGTTCTTCCACTCACCAGGCTGTCTTTTTTGGTCATTTCCTTTGCTATAGAGAAGATTTTTTATTTTGTAGTCTCAATAGTTTATTTTTCCTTTTAATTTCCTTGCCTCAGGAGACATATCTTTAAAAAATGCTGCTAGAGCCATTGTTAGGGAAATTACTGGCTCTGCTCTCTTCTGACACTTTTCTGTTTCAAGTCTCACATTTAGGTCTTTAGTCCATTTTGAGTTTATTTTTGTGGTATGTAAGAAAGGGGCCCAGTTTCATTCTAACATACTTACCCAGTTTTCCCAACACGATTTGTTGAAGAGACTCTCTTTTTCCTTTATTTATTCTCACCTCCTCTGTCATAGATTAATTGACCACATAACTGTGGGCTTATTTCTTAGCTCTCTATTCTGTTCCATTGATCTATGTATCTATTTTTATGCCACAATTACTATTTTGATTACTACAGCTTTGTAGTATAACTTGAAATCTGGGATTGTGCTACTTCCAGTTCTGTTTTTCTTTCTCATGATAGCTTTGGCTATTCAGGGTTTTCTGTGGTTCCATACAAATTTTAGGACTGTTTGTTCTTTTTAAAAAAAAATTTAATGTTTATTTATTTTTTGAGAAACAGAGACAGAGCATGAGCAGGGGAGGTGCAAAAAGAGAGGGAGACACAGAATCCAAGCAGGCCCCAGGCTCTGCACTGACAGCGCAGAGCCTGATGTGGGGCTCAAACTCATGAACCATGAGATCATGACTTGAGCCAAAGTCAGATGCTTAACCGAGCCACCCAAGCATCCCTATGATTGTTCTAGTTCTGTAAAAAATTCCATTGGTATTTTGATAGGATTTGCAGTAAATGTGTAGATGGCTTTGGGTAGTAGATAGATAGATAGATAGATAGATCACCTGATATATATATATATATATATATATATATATATCCCCTTTCTTTTAAGACGAACTGAAATAATCTTCATATTTGAGTTTATATATCACTATTTATATCATATATATTCATCCCTTTCTTTTTTCTTTTTAAAAAAAATTTTAATGTTTTATTTATTTCTGAGAGACAGAGAGAGTCAGCATGAGTAGGGGAGGGTCAGAGAGAGAGGGAGACAGAATCTGAAGCAGACTCCAGGCTCTGAGCTAGCTGTCAGCACAGAGCCCAACTTGGGGCTCGAACCCATGAACCGTGAGACCATGACCTGAGCCGAAGTCAGACGCTTAACCGACTAAGCCATTCAGGCGCCCCTCATCACCTTTCTTTTAAGAGGAATTAAAATAATTTTTATATTTGAGTTTTCTGTAGCCAAATCATTCCTCAGTTCTGTTTTCTCTTAAAGCATTTGGGTTTTTTGTCCTAGAGAAAATAGACTTTTTGTTTTACTTTCATTATTAAGCAATTGAAAAAATCACTTGTATTCTTTGTATCTCAGTCAAAAGACACATTTTCTTAGAAGATGATTATTCTCCAAAGGTGGCACATGATTACAAGGATGTTCAGGAGTGAAGGGACTATATACCTCCATTCTTTATAATGTTCAGACTGCCCAGTTTGGATTCCTGTATCTAAAAGAGATTCTAATTCAAATCATGATATTGCACTAACTGAACTTTTGTGCTGTTTCAACTTTAGCCAGTGATTGTTAGGTCTACAGGAAGCTCTATGAGAAAAAAAATCCTGCCATTT